TACCGTGCACCACGGTGGAAAAAAAAAAAAAGGGTACCTGTTTTCGTTTTACGGAACTGAAAAATGGAAAGCCACAAAAAAAAAAAAAAAAAAAAAAAAAAAAAAAGAAAACGGATTGTAATCAGCCTCGTTCGAGGACGAAACACGAAACAAACGAAGCTCGTAATGAACGTACACCTCGAGAAGAAGAACCTCTTCTTCTTCCGGCTGAGAACGAACGGACGAACGAACGAACGAACTCTTCACTCCACGAGAAAAGGGGGAGGAGAGGGGGGGGGATCTCGAAGAAGATGGATAAGAAGGAACGTCGTGGAACGCGAAAGAAAAAGGGGCGTATAAAGGGCGGAAGGGGGAGGGGGAGGGAAGGAGGCGTGTGTCGAATGAAAAAGAAATCCGTGACGCACGTTTTCCTCGCGAAGAAAGCAGGATCCAAGCCAAAGCCTCGTGGCTTTCCTCGTTGGCCGAGTCGCGTCACGCGTGCGCCTTATACGCGTCGTTTGCAAGCGGCGCCCTCCACCGCTCGTCCTTATCGACCAGAGATCTTCGTGGAATCGATCGATCGATCGATCGGTTCCATGGAACTGGGACAGAGCTGTAATTTGGACGTGTGTTCTTTCAGGAATGAGCATTGGAACGATTTATTTTAATGGTGAGGAACGAAATTAGATAAAATAAATATCATATTCGCGAATATTATAAGAAATTTTGATTGAGAATGGATCGGGCTTTAAATACTGAAAATTTTATTACTTGTGATTGCAATAACGTGGACGAGTGAGATAAAGTAGTAAGTAGAGACGTGACTTTTAGATTTTTAATTTATTCGATTTATAAAAATTCTTTACAATTTTTAAGATTCCTTTAAATTCATCAGTTTTTTGAATAAATTTCATGCTAATTGATTAGATTAATTATTCATCCATAAACTTTATTCAGCTAATTTAATCTTAACACTTTTTACGAATTTTCAACGCTTGTTATTTATTTCCGATTTTATTAATTCTTTATTTTCCCTAATATCTAATTAAAAAAAAATATTCAAATAATTCACAAATAGACTACAACCAATTACCATTCAATCCTTTTTAAATTAATAAATACTCTCGTTAGAATTATAATTTGAATTCATTCGATCGATTTATCGTTTCTTTTTTTTAATTCAATAACATAATTATAATCCGTAAATCCAGTTCCATGAGTTGGAAAATTCGAATCGTGTTGTAAGAAGCTCGGCGAATTAATTAACGCGGTTGGCGTTTAAGAGGGCTGACGTAAAGGGAGCCACCCACCCACCCACCACTGCGAGAGATTGAAATTTAAATGACACCCACCGCTCGTGACACCCTCGAGTTCGTAGAATTGAAATTTAAATGGCACCTGTTCGCGAGAAGCATCCGGTGGACAACACCTTCCCCGATGAAATTCAAATCGCCTGATCGCTGACTGCTCGTCGATTGGACGGATTCGCTCGTCGGATCAGGGCCAGTGAGATTGATAATAATTTCACAGAACGTTTAGTTGCTCTGGTAACCCGGTTCGAAGTCTGTTGTTGTTGTTGTTGTTGTCGCCGCCTCGATGGAATTGAAATTTAAATTGCAATTGATATAGGGCTTCAATGATATTATACATGATATTCGCGCTCTCGATAAAGATGAAGGCTAATCTTCAAAGTTTTCGCTCTTACTTGAAACCACGTAGCTCATAATCGTAAATCTCGAGGGAACGATAAATCAAGATTAATCTAAAAAAGAAAACAAAAGATTGGGGTCCTATATCCATTCGAACAATAGGATATATCACGCGAATATAAGAGCGTATTATAAAGGATAATCGATACCCCATTATTTCTTAATCGGCCGTTCAATTCAATCCGATTACTCTGATGTAATTGCAGCAACATCGATAAAACTGGTGGTGGCCTCCGTAAAATTAAATATCGCGAGACAGAGAGAGAGAGAGAGAGAGAGAGGGAAGGATAAACGGCGTCGTAAATCGATATTTAAAAATCCTCCGCTCGAATCGAAACGATTTGAGATTCTCATCGGAGAATCAACACCCACCGTCGTTAATGAAATTTGAATAATTGATCGATTCGTACGATGTGGGACCTGTCACAATTTTAACTTGCGTAATATACTTGTGTATATACACGTTGCATTCATCGGATCCGATTAACACCGATTCGAAGGTTGTGCAAGGCAAAAAGGAATTTGATTAAAAAAAGAAACATTATTTTTTTTTTTTAACGAAACAATACAAACTTTCACATTTTCAAAAAAAAAAAAAATAAACGTCGAATGAGTGGTTGTTACGATATTACTACCTACTTTCTTCGGATGGATGAAATATTTCACGGAGAAAGTCGGTGCAAGGATTTTTTTCACCGCAGCCGGTGGAAATCGTCCCGTGAAAACGAACGATTTTGCAGAAAGTCCAATTGAATTTCTTTTTCTCTCGCAGAAATCGACAATTCTTTTTTTTTTCCACGTACGACGGGATGTTAATCGACTGGAGTATTTGCTCCAGTTTCTGCGGAAACGATTCTCGATTGCGATCTTAGATCCGGTTCTGAGTCAGCGTGGTGGTAATAGGCATGAATGGACAGATATTTTCCTTTCTTTCTTTTTTTTCGTCCGTAATGGTTCGCTTCTCTCTCTCGAGAAATAACGTTTCTGTCGTTTGGAAACATGTTCACGTGTAAATGTTCACGATTTTACGTGATGCAACTTAACCGATGCGCCGATTATCTGTCTAATCTGTGATTCTTGAAAGCGTCATTTTGTGCTGCCACTGTGCGATACCAACGATAATTTTATCGGCCATCTCAACGATAGAAGATATCGTGAGAACATTAAACATCTGTCTCTTTCTTTCTCGAGATAAAAGGAAAAATTAACGAATGAAGTAAGCTTTCAGCAGAGTCGACATAATATATATAAAATATCGAAAAGTGTAGTATAGAAAGATAAAATGGTTATGTCTAATTTTCGTTTATCGAGAAACGATCAAATAAAAAGATAGGGCACTTCAACTTCTTCGAATTCCTCGATCGCAACATCCGAGAAAATACGTGTAAAAATCTTGCACAAGTTTGTGCGAACATCTAAATAAACGTACGAAAGATACTTTTCCTTATTTCGCATACCTGACAATTTTGCATCATAAATTTCTTTCAATTCCTCGCGCGACTCACCGAAGCCATTAATTTATCGGAAATCGCGTATAATCTATCGTGTACATCTATCCTGATCAAGTCATTTCACTTAGACGTTATTTTATTTCAATTACTCGTTTATCGAAGATAATCTACGCCATTGCTGTTTGTTGCGCCATTTAAAAATATAAAAGGTATTATTTTTTCGAATTTTTCAATTCAACCGTTCAGCCATTAATTCATCGGACGTAACGTGGATTCATCCTGATCAAGTCATTTCGGTGTACGTTTCATTTTATTTCAATTCACTCGAGGATATCGCCATTTAAAAATACCCGCGATACACTCGATTGGAGTATTACTTTTTTCCCCCCGATGCATCGAATTGTTTAATCGCGCGTATTAAAACGATCAAAGTTCCATCGTTTAAAATATTATCGGGAGTGAGCAAAGGCGAAATTTAATCTACGAGTTTACGACTCGATGATCAGAGTCAATCGCGTGACGCGCTTATAAATTGAACTTGGATAATTGGGATCGATGGTTTATTATAGGATGCTTTTGGAAATTTCGGTCAGAAAGAAAATTTGCGCACGACGAATATTGTAATTAACTACTAAATATTATTTAGTAGTAGTGCTGTGATGTTATCGGTGAATCTAAATTATCATGGTCGTTAGGCATCTTGTACAATGGAGTCCATTGTTGAATTTCTAACGAGTGAAGCAAAGTTGTGTCGTTCGTCGATGAAATAGCACAATTATTACATAATAATTGTGATGGGTTAATTATAATTGACGTAGGAAATCTTTCATGTAATGTTCCAATTGTTTCGCGATAACTGTTCATTCAGAAGTGTAAAAAAAATACGCTACAAAGCATGACTGGATAAACCTAACCTAAAGACGAACGAAGTAATTGATATACAGTATCGACGGTTGCCACGTGACGTGAATTTCATCCTTATATAAATCGCAAACGGAATCAGATTCTTGCATTATACGACGACTCGAAGAAAGATACACACGTCGTCGCAACGTCTCCTAAATAGAAGCTTGATCGAGTGTAATGGGCTCCAATAAGGATGAAATCAAGTTCAATGTAACTTGAGAATCCGAATCCATTTAGGGACACTACGTGTTATTTTGTTGAATGGTGAAGCGATTGGAATCTCTGATACGAATGAATGTGAAATTAGAAGTGCAGAAAAATGAAATTTACTGGCAATTCAATTTAAATTTATTTTACGATATCGTACCATTTTGATTTCGATGTTACAATAACATTTATTATGAATGTTCAATTATGTTTAGTAAAATATTAATAAAATAACATACGTTATAACATGTACAAAATGTTAATTAATTTTCTGTTCTGTTTTTCACGCCATAAATTTTGATGTTAATCGAATATTTTACAAGTAAATGTTTTCGTATCAGTGTATAGTTCAATGTTTCGTAATAAAATAATCATTAACGTAAACGCAATATACGAATATTTCTCGATTGAATCAACTTCATTCCGATTGCACGCAAAAATTCATCCTATCAGTGAAAGATTAATTATAAAAGTTCACGTTCCCTCGCTAGATCTCGCGCGGTCACTTTCAAACCGCAGACCAACATTTAGTATCTTATCTACCATACCTTTTAAAATTCTCCCACAACTCTAATTAGTACAGCGAAAGAATCTCGCTAATCGTATACCGCGCAGATTCTTCCCATCCTGTCCATGTTAAACGACTGAAAAAAAAAGCGGAACAATTCATTTATCCAATATTATAAATAACATTTTAATTAACGTTAGAATGTTATATAAATAAAGAATGCCACGAATGCTGTTCGGGATACACGCTTGATTCGATCCCTATGCTCGGCTCGAATGTACGAGTCGTCTCGAGTTTTCCCGAAACGACCGCCAGAGGCGCTCTAGGTTACGTTCGGTAGAGGCTCGAACAGATAGTCGTGAAACCGCCAGTCGTGCGGACGATTGTGTGTCGTTGCTCCGTTTGTGTTTATATATTCGTTTCGTTCGCCGCGATACGTGGCCGTTTCCATATATCGTTCGAAAAATAGTGATTAGTGTCCCTGTGCTTGGAAAAAGGAAAGCAATATGTCGTCCACTCATCCTAACTGTTCGCGCGCATTCCTTGAACGCGATGACGGCCACGCCGGACCACGAGCAAACCCGATCTTGTCGTAGTGAGTCAGACCCTTTTACTTTTCTTCGTACCTCGTGCCCGGTCGACCACTTCGAGTCCTTTCTATCCATGAGATCGTGTTCGACGTATCTGTGCACGGGACAAAAGGCAGTTCTCGTTCGTATTCCATTCTTTCGACGCGCAATTCGTTTCGAAACGAATAGTCGAAGTCGTGCCATTCGCATATACGTGTCAGTCAAAAGTGTTACGTGCATTTCTGGAACTATTTCGCCCACTTTTGACTACGAAGTGTGCATTTTATATATCGTTGTGTGAACTATGCGGTGTACCGTTTATACGCAGTACACGTTTGTGTATCGTTGTCGATTACGATCGATCGAAAAAAAGCAAGTGCGACGAAAAAACGCAAATCCGATGATAAACGGATGCCATTCAATAAATTCGTTCGTAAATAATCGTTCGTAATTTTCGAATTTTTGTATTGAGCGTATAATATGGTCGACTATGCCAGAGGATCCACCAATCGACTGATCAACAGAGGTCACCGGTGACGACAGTCGAGCGAAAACATTGGTCAGTAGTAAAAACACGACTTATAGTTCAACGTTTAGCATTATCTGTACAAAATAGTCCGTGTATATAGCGAGAACGACGGTTGTATGTTTTTCTTGATACACGTGCTTCTGCGTGCCGCACAATACGTCGCCATCTATATTTAGTGGCATCGTTCGGAGTGAGAAATTCGTGAAGCCCTCAATCGTTGTGCATTCCTCTCGGTCCTTCGAAATCTCTTTGCCTCGCTTTCTAACACACGAGGCGTGAAGAAAGAAACGACGTAAGGTGAATTTAAGCGAACTCCATCGATTTCTGGACGAACAACGCCATGGTGTATTTGAATAAACTTCTCTCGCGGAACTGGTAGAATGGTGAATGTGTAACGTTTTTAACGATTCAATGCGGCATAAAGGGGCATCCATAATTGCGTAACACTTATTTCGAACCCGTCAATAGAAACTATTGGTACGGATAGTATGAATCGATTCTATCGAACGATTGTCGAATAACTAGTCATTCAAACCGTGAAACGTGACATGTAAGGACCGAAGACATGTTGAACGCAGAGAACACCGACGGGTCACCGAAACGGAGATCGACCTTTTACGTATCTTTAGATAACGATACGAGACAACCCTCGAAAATTCCAAAAACAATCAATTCCGATTCCGACAAGTATATTAACAATACTTTCCCCATAAATACCTCGAAAACAGTACCGAATGTAATTTTAACGCGTACGTTAAGCAACAACGATTCCTTGCCGAATCCGAAGCGTGTGGAGGATTCGTTTCCCGAGTCTAGAGGCAAAGTGCAATCTTTGACAAAGATATTCGAGACCCCGAAGGGGGATCAGGTGACGAATGGATCCGACCAAAGGAAAAAGGTCGAGAGGACCAGATCTTTTAAGACTATCGAGAGGTTCCAGAGTCGATTCACTGGTCGAAAAGATACCAGCAGAAAAGACAATCGTTTGAATAATACCATAGCGTGTTTCGAAGTGGAGGACGAGGATTCGAAGAAGAAACCGGAAACGGATAAACGTTCGAACTCGAAAAATCACGATTCAAAATCGAGCAATGTTATGAAAATTAATTCTTCGGAATCGAGGATCAAACAGAATAGCGGTACCACGTTCACCAACTTGTTGATACGTAGAACTCACAGTACGAAATTAGCCAGAAGTACAAGCACGTTAGTGAAGACGCCTGGCAGACACGCGTCGGTCGACAGTCCTTGCAGCGTCGCGACGCCAGCCAAAAGCGAGAATCATCATCGGTCGAGTAGCGAGAAATCGAAAGAAGACGAGACACCGGACGATTCTGTCGCGGATAACGACGAGGGAACCGAGTCATCTGTGTTCGAGGACGCCGACGCGGACGCTGGGATACATTCAGGTAGGCGTGTATATATAATATCTACGTTGTAATTGAGAATGAGAATCATGATTCGATGCTGCGGCAATAAAATTTTTCTATGATGATGAAATGCAGACGATAGTCGGTTGTTGGATTATGTTAGAGAGATCGATAGCGCTGTTAAGATAAAGAAAATTAATTGAATGCACGACACGCGTAATTTGAATATGTTAGAGTCGAGATAAGTTTTTATATATCTTTATCGGAAAGTTTTTTAAGTCGTTTTTTCTTTTTTACTCTTTTCTTTTTTTTTTGTATATATATACGTGTGAAAGAAAATATAAATATTCTATAAAATCTTTTCAAATATTTCTTATATAAAATATATTTTAGGTCTGTCGTTAAAGCATTTTATATTTTTATTTTTCCAATATTTAAATAACCACAGAGACACAAAGCAATATTCGATATAATTATTCGTATTTAAGAAGGACTGATATATTTCTATCATTAATCGCGGTTATATACAATGAAAGATATTCAGAAGGAAATATTCTTTCGTGTAATTAGCGAATGAATTGCTCTGAGTCATTAATGGACCCTTTTTTTCGAAAAAGATATACATGTTATGCGTAAACACTGTTATATCATAAAATATTTTTGTATTAAATATTCTGTTTTCAATACTTTACATCTATTTATTTAAAATATTTTCCAAGATTTAACAACTTCCTTATCTATTATCTCGTAGAATTTTATTTACAATTTACCCATAAAATTTATACTTGCAATTCGAACCATACTATAAATATACCACAATATATGTAATATCCCCGACACTTGTACGGTCTTCAAACCTCATCCAACCCATAAGAAACCTTTTCTTTCATTTCTGGAGCCCCCGACATTTTCTCAAATTTCTATATAACGTTCTATAATATTCGCAAATAATTTACTATATTTGTTAATAAAATAAAATTAAATAACACATGTATATCTTTCTCGATAGAAATATTTCAAATTATCCTCGACAAGAAAAATCGCGCGTTTCAAGGCGTGCACAAAATATTGAAAGCAAAGTAGCACTCGTAACTAACTACGTGTCCGGAATGACGCGATTTTCTTTAAAGAAACAGACGAGAGGATCGCGCGATTCGTGATCATTCGCCCTTAATTAAGGCAGACCTCTCGTCGAGAAATAAAAAAAAAAAAAAAAAAGGG